GACAAATGGTTATACGACCCTGTCAATCTACCGAATATCACTGAATTGTATGTATGTGAATTATATCTCAGTAAAGCTGTTTTTAAAGAAAGGAATAAATGTTTTATGAGTGGTTTTAGTTAACCAAACTAACAGAAAGGGATGACAGAACACGATATGCCAATTATGCCCAATACTTTCCCGTGACCCATGGTGTTTAACACCGTCTGAAAATGATGGCCTTCCTTCTCATTAGGTGGACATTTCATCTACTATTGGAGTTATATATTTTGTGCTTAAAATGTATTAAAAGAGCACTTTCAAGGATACCTTGGGAGGTTTTTCTTGAGAGCCTGGATTGGCTGTAGTAAGTCAGCTGAGCCATGAAGAGTTAGGTCAGACAGTACTAACTGGCAGGCCTCTGGCTTTATCTGACACACAGACGGTTCATATGACCAACACTGTTTCTAAAAGTTGGATTTTTTCAGCCCTAGACAGTTTGGCTCAGGGGATAGAGCGTCGGCCGGCGGACCAAAGGGTCCTGGGTTCAATTCCAGTCCAGGGCAGTTCATACCTTGGCTGCAGGCTCCTCTCGGCCCAGGCCCTGGTCAGGGCTCATGCAGGAAGCAACCAATCAATGTGTTTCTCTCACATCGATGTTTCTCTCTGTCTTTCTCTCTCTCTTCCATTCTCCCTAAAAAATCAACAGAAAAATATCCTTAGGTGAGGGTTAACAACAACAAAAAACATTGATTTTTTTCACATTAAAAAAATCCAGATATTTGGCTTTTTTGGAAAAATCAGAAATCTAAAAGCTTGGGTCCACGTTTTGGCAGGGTGGCAATCTTCCCTACAGGGGGTAAGTGTTCTGTAGTTTGCTACAGTCCCCATCATTCCCTAATCATTCTATCTGACTGACCCACTGATGTCACCTGCCTGGAACCTGTAGTTGGGACCTTAGTATTTTGTGACTATGACCTGTGATTCTGAATTTTTCATCATCAGAGATTCCTTTCATAGGAAACATGTATTATCATCACACAGAACACAGAGTGGGAAACTGAACTAGAGGGGACCCTTGAGTGAGAAACAGAACCATTTTGGTGACATCATAGGTAGCGTGTACTCCTGATGAGGACCAGAGAATCTGTCTGTGCTGCACAGGACGTCTTATGGCCCAGACAAAAGACTAGAAAATAAGCTTTATTTATCATGTGTCTCTTATGTGCTGAGCACTATTTATTTATTAGATTATATTTATTAGATTATTTCATTTCATTATCACAGTGATCCTACTGGCCAGGATACTATCTCTCTTTTACAAATAATGCTAAGGAGGCTCAGAGACATCAGTGAGGTTTCCAAGGTCACACAGCTAGTATAAAAGAGCAACAATATTGATCCAGTTCTGACTCTGAAGCTAAAGTTTTCTCCACTAAGCCACATGACCTCCCAGTTATTAGCCTTGCTAATAAAATTAACACTGATCACATTTTCCCCCTAAGCATACCTCATATTTTCATGGGAGTCCTGACACAAGTTTATAGCCTTGCTTTCAAGGTTTTAGAATAGGATCCATACATGTTGTGGATATAAAATTTGGAAAAAGTTTCATGAAACAATACCTACCATTATTGTGATGGGATTCTGATTCTTTCCCCCTTAAAATCATAAATTTACTTCCAAACCCACCAATGGGCCTTGCCATTAGCAAAAACTGCACTGGAGCTACAGTAAATAAGCCCCGTTTACCATCAGGGGTGACATCCACCCTAACTGACAAGTGCTGGGGCTGCAGGCTGATTGGACAGGACTGAAGAGAAGAGCAGGTCGGAGAGGTGCCCAGCATCCAGAGCTCCCCAGCACACCCAACAAGGCTGGTGCCAAGGCTGTGGAACTGCCCAGAGAAAGACTCTGAAGAAGAGAGCCACGCTCTGCCAGGGAGACCTCAGATAAAACCTAGCATTCCAGGCCAGAGATCCAGGAAATGCAAAGAAGATGCCTGCAAATCCTGAGGCCTAGGAGAGAAATCCTAGCCGACCTGATAATACCTTTCTCACTCGGGTGAGGCTCTTCCCAACTCAGATTTGCTAGTGGGGAGGTGGATCCATTGGGAAGTCGGCCTCATATCCCAAGGGTCCAGTCCTTTTTGTTTAAAACAACAACAACAACAAGACACTGAGCACCCAAAATGGCTTGTGGAGCTAAATAGAAGGGGACTGCCTATCTGTACCTGTTGTTCAGAATAAAAAATAAAAAATAAATCAACAACAACAAAAACATGTAAGCTTTTCCTGAACGGTTGCTGTTGATCCTTGTTCTAGGTTTCTTTTTGACTTTCAAAGACAGAAATAAGGGAGTAGGAAGGTGATAGCAGGATTTAGTACAGTAACATAAGCACTACCAGCAAATCAATCCTTACATTCGGAAATGAACTCTGCCTTAGAAATAGTCATGGGATTTGACCAGTGATTTTGCTTCTAGGAAATATTTAGAAAATAATAATCAGAAATAAGTAAAAAACACAAAGATCTGAATATTAATTGCAGCATTATCTATATAATGTGGAAACAACCTAGATGTCCAATGAAAGGGGCTTGGTTAAATAAATTTTGGTCCATCCTTATACTGGGTTACTATTATGCCACTATCAAATTGTTATGAATAATAAGTTTAATGCCCATGTAATATTCATAATATCTTATTGTGACAAAAACAATTTCAGAAGGATACACTGGTTAAAAAAAAGTGTATAGGTGAATCCAAAAAATATTAAAAATATGAGAAGAATATATTTAAAAATATTAATAGTAGCCCGGCCGGCATATTCAGTGGTTGAGCGTCCACCTATGAACCAGGAGGTCACAGTTTGATTCCCGGTCAGAGCACATGGCCGGGTTGTATGCTCGATCCCCAGTAGCTGGTGTGCAGGAGGCAGCCAATCAATGATTCTCTCTCATCATTGATATTTCTATCTCTCTCCCTCTCCCTTACTCTCTGAAATCAATAAATATATTAAAAATATTAATAATATTCATTTATGGTGAAAGGTAATCATTTTCTCCCTATACTCTTCAATATTTGCCCAGTTTTGTTCAATTAATTTATATTGTTTTTTAAATTAGAATAAAAAAACTCTAAATTTTTTGTTTGTGTAGCTACAGGACTTGACTAAACATCTCTCTTGCACTTAAAAAAAACTGAACTTATTGGGGTGACATTGGGTAATGAAATGATATGGGTTTCAGGTGTACAATTCTATATAAAAATTCAAAAATTTTAAGAGAAGAAATTAGTTAATAAAAGACTCAAAGATTCAGATAATTTTTAAAAATTCAGACTTCATTACGCTAGAAACTCTTCCCTACAAGGAAATATACAACATCTATAAAGATCATGCATATTTACTCTAGCCCTAAAGTCGCCAAAGCATCTCCAAGGTGACTGCCCTGATAACACAAATCAGAATCAGGTAACTGTCTACTTGAGAACTTGTACCTCTCATCTCTACTGATGTGTCTTCCTTAGCTATTCCTTCTTTCTCCATAATTGGGTCCTGAATCATCATCTCTTTACTTCTGGGCTCTCATAGGGCCTCAGTGGCCAACTCCCTGTGGAGTTTTAACCTTTGTCTCTATGTAAACGACCCTAAGATTCCCTTTCAGTCTTAGGCTCTATCCTGGACCCCAACACTTACCAGTTTCTCTGGCTCACCGGTTTGCTCTCTAAACCACACCTCTTTCCAATTTCCTTCCTTGCCAACTTCCTACACTGCCTCCAGTTCTAGGGGTCTGATTCCCCTTCTTCTTTTCTCTCACATCAAATTCTATAACATCTATGTCACACTACTTTTGAATCACTTTGTTTTTTTCCCATTTTATTGCCCCCAACTCTATTCTGCCATTTATTGTTTGGTGGTTTAGAATGGAGGTTTTGGAACTAGACATCCATGGGTTAAAATCCTGGCCCTGGCACTAGCTAGCAGTGACACCTTGGGCAAAGTGAATTAACCTCTCTGAGCCTTAGCTGTTTCTGTAAAATGTATAGCACCCTTTCAAAGGGGGAGCTGTGAGTTTAAAATAGCTCATAACAGAGCTGAGCCTAGTATGTAAATTGCTTCAAATACTGTAAATGATCAACCGATTGTTGGCTGTTTATTTTAGGTTACTTTTTAAAATTGGCATTAATTTTTTCCTAATGAAACAAAGGCCACTGCTTAAAAACTTCCCATTTAATTACAATATTGTCTTCCAAATTAATGACTATCTTTACCAGCCTTCAGGGCCCTCCCTAATAAGGCAAAATTTCTCTCTTGCTTGCCCTCCCCGCTGTTTTCCTAATTTCCAATCAAACTGGACCTTGTACTGTCCTATCTTCAAGCCTCTGGTCACACTTTCTTTTGGTTGTAGTGTCCTCGCGCCTCCTCTCCCGCCTGTGACCCCTCCCACCCCCGCTGCTAAAATCCAACCTGTCCTTTAAAACCTTCCCAAACTTTATTAATTCTCAACTTGATGAGCTTTCTTTCATTTTTGAATTCTGTTGCTTTTGGTTGTTCCTTTCTAATGGCTTTTATGGTGTTATAAATATAACAGCAATATACTAGTATGTATTTTATAACCTATCTAAATATATTACAAATTATGTTGTCTTACTCATCTTTGTTTCTCCAGCTTTCCCCCATCATAGGTACTCAATAAATGTTAGGGGAATGTGAAGGTCATGTTCAATTTTCTGTACACACCTATCACATTGTTGATATTGTTTTAATACCTTATGTCCAGAATTCCCTTCCCTTCATGGATTAATTACATTCTAGAATGCTGACTTAAGCAGCATGGAGCAAAACATATGGTCATGTTATCGTTTTTGTTGGTCAAAATCAGTTGATACTGGCAACTTCATGTGGTTTAATTCTGTTTGGGTTGGCCCCTATCCCGATGTCGTTGGGCAATGTTTTTATGATCAGCTGTTTTAACAAATTTTCTTTTTTTGCTTTTTACTGTATGAGGTTCAGAAGCTTGTAAACACATTTGTTTTAACTCATGTATATTATTAAAAATCTTTAAAGTCAAAACAATAACGCCAAATTTCTAAATGGCTGTATTTGTGTGGCAACAAAGTTGCTTTTTGAGGTTAACACATATTTTTCCCTACATATTACTAAATATCACAAAAGCTTATAAACTCCCCCAAAATATTATCATCCTTGTGTAGATATTTACTTTGACACCAAAAACATGTGCTTACTGAATTTAATGAATTCAATCTAAGTTTTAGATTTAGATGAGAGCAGTTTGGATTGGCATGAAAGGACTCCAGATGTAGTGTGGGGGACATGGATTCCCGTGTGAGGCTAGGAGTGCTCAAACAGGGGAAGTAAAGCAGGCCAACCTGCAAGGCCCAGGAAGGGCCTCCTCTCCCGTCCCACGGTCACTCCCACTCATTGCTGTGGTTCCTAGTACCATCACTTTCCCTCTCTCCCTCCTCCCCCTCCTCTACCCCTTTTTCTCTCAACAATAGTTCCAGCTCCACAAACACAGAGCTTAAAGCACCTCATTCATGGGATTTATACTTGCCAAGTGGCTTTGGGGAACAAGCTTTTCTCAAGCCCAGACATCAAAAGGCACTCATTTAAGCACTTGAGAGAGAAATAGTAACTGAGGAAATTCATTATCTCATCCCAAGCAGAAAAATAGATTTTGTGAGGCTATCTCTATGGTTTCCTGCCTTTTAAAAGACAGTCTCTTGCCCAGCCAGCATGGTTCAATGGTTGAGCTTCAACCTATGAACCAGGAGGTCACAGTTCGATTTCTGGTTAGGGCATATGCAGGCTCCATCCCCAGTGGGGGACATGCAGGAGGCAGCCAATCAATGATGATTCTCTCTCATCATTGATATTTATATCTCTTTCTCCCCCTCTCCCTTCCTCTCTGAAATCAATAAACACACACACACACACACACACACACACACACACACACACACAGTCTCTTGACTATCTTTTTTTACCTTTCCTAAAGAAATGTAAACTTTTTGCAGACAGAAACTATATCAGAGGGTGGCATATCATCTTCAAAAGCTATGTGTTTATTAGTGACAATTGGAAGACTCAAAGAACATTTTTATGTGGCTATAAATTCTTCAGTGACTAAAACTGAACTTCGTATCTTTTTAAAGGGATTTTTGGGTGGAGCAAAAATAATACAAATGAGATTAGAAGAGGAACTACTAGAGCAATGGAAGGAAAGGATGCCAGAAAGGGGAAAGGGGAAGGCTAAAGAAGTGGAAGCCAGTGCCAAAGTGGAAACTCAGAAATGCTCCTTGAGTCTGTCTAACATCTGAGAAAGGTACCTGAGGGAGTTGATGGACCTTAATTGCAAGGGTTAGATGCTATGTACATCCAGAAAGACTTATAAGAAAGAATTTACATGACAATCTCCAAAAGCTGAAAAATTTGGAGAGAACCCAAGGCAGAAAACCTGCATTTTTCTAAAGAGAGATGCCAATCACATCATAGCTTAGAGCTACAAGACTCAAGGACAGCTGAGCGGAGCAAAGTCAGTCTCCGAAGGAAGGAAAGCTATTGTCTTACTCATTAGCCAATATCCCAGCTCCGTTAACACATTCTAAGTCTTAAATGCGCTACTATAGACACATATTAGTGTCACAAGCCTTAGGTTAACATTTCAGTTGTAGGTGAGAAAGAACTGATGTTTAGACACCTGAAGGAGCTCTTTCAGATGAAACTTTCGCTTACTTAGAAAAATCCTAAATTCAATTCAATCCCTTCCCCTTCCTCTCTTCTCTCCCTTTCTATTCATTGTCTAAGAAATTAAAACACACACACACACACACACACACACACACACACACACACAACCAGGTATTAGGAAGATGGTAAAATTAAGGGCAACATGGAGCTTCCTTTATCAGAGTGAGAAGGCAGTGTTGTTCAGGCTGTAAGTGTCCACGGATGGGGGGCCGAGATGGGAGGGCAATTGGAAACTAATATTTACTGGGCATTTGCCATGTGCTAGGCACCATTACTATTCTCAAAGCAAGTCCTTGGAGTGGGTGCTACTTTCCTATTTTACAGAAGAGGAAATTAAGGTTGCCTAGGGCCCTAGGCTAACCCAGTTAGTCCCCCTGGCTCCAAAGCCCTTTTCATGATGCCCTGCATGATGTCTCCTTCTAGTCTTTACTTTGGCACTAAAAACCAATATTCACAGCCCTGGCCAGTTTGGCTCAGTGGATAGAGTCGGTTTATGGACTGAAGGGTCCTGGGTTTGATTCAGGTCAAGGGGATGCAGGCTCCAACCATTGTAGGCTGGTTCCCTGCCCTGGTCAGGGCATATGTGGGAGGCAACAATCGATGTATCTCTCTCACATCGCAATGTTTTTGTCTCTCTGTCTCTCCCCCTCCCTTCCACTCTCTTTAAAAAGCAAAGGAGCCCTGGCCGGTTTGGCTCAGTGGATAGAGCGTCTGGCCTGCAAACCGAAAGGTCCCAGGTTCAATTTCAGTCAAGGGCACATGGTGGGGTTGTGGGCTCGATCCCCAGTGGGGAACTTGCAGGAGGCAGCCAATCCATGATTCTCTCTCATC